AACTTTCATAACTTTTTATCACCTTTTTAGCACCTTTTTGCACCTTTTTAGCACCTTTTTAGTCAATTTTAAGTAACTTTTATAGTGACTTTAAGACTGGTTTTTGTCACCTAAAAGTCAATGCTTTAGTTATCATAAAATATAGGTGTTTTATAGGGACGGTTTTAGTGGAATACCAATATGACCGCCATTGTTTTACCATACGATTGCCGTTTGTAATTGCAACTTTAATTGTAATCAAGTTTAATTACAATTAAATTTAATTGTAATTAATTATTGCGTCACTGCACACGTAACTAAACCGGTTTAATTCATATATAAAATAAATGTATCAATTATTTATATACCAAATATTGTACATAAATAAAAAAAATTACAGCTTATAAATGTCATCGAAAATAAGCGAGCACAACCAAAATAAGGCCAATTATTGCGCTATAGAATGGTGTAACGTAGTCAAAACGTAAACAAAATGGCCGCCAATGTACATATAGAGAAAGACCACGTGATTACAAAATTACAATTTATTTTAATTACAATTTATTAACTAAAATTATTTTAATCAATTTGAAATAAATTACAGAATTGAATAATAACAAAATATTGCGTCATATTAAAATATCAGGTTAGTATACTTTACATCTACATTATAATATAAATAATTAATTACAATTAATAATTTAATTAAATTAATATATTTACCAAAAGTTCATGTAAAGGTAGTCATGGAAAACCAGATAGAGGTATAGCAAGTAGTGGTATAATAGGTAAAGGTAATGCAGATATTTCATTTATTTATAAGTTTTAAATATTTTTCTCGTTAAGACAAACTCATCGTATAATCGCTACGTACAAGTGGTTGAGATGAACGAGTCTTTCGCTATTGATGTCAAATTTTGTGTCTAGTTTAATGCATTTGAATGCCTGTCGATGAGATTTGTGCCAAAAACAAGACATCGAGTTATTGGTCGAACGACTTTGGAGATGAACTCTACTATGAATTCGACAAATCAAACTCGAATATGTTTTATGTTTACCAAAAGAGCTCTACTGAGCGAAGAATATCATCAATTAATTCATCAGAAATCATCACAATGTTTAAAATAAAACAATCACTTATTAACAGAAGCCTCGAATTGATTGAACTGAAAAAGCAATCGGAAAAAAGAGAAACCTATGGACACGGATTTGCTATTGGAAGTCATTAAAAAGTCTTTGTTAAATACTGATTCAGAAGAAGTAGGTGGAAATTTGAATTATAAATAAAAATAATTAAGTTGTATTTTAATAATAATTGTTTATTTATTTATATTGTAATTCAAATTATAAACAAGGATCACACAGCGATGCTATACGTTAACCACAATTCGGGAAATGCGTCAAAAATTTTAAATCTTTCAATGCCAGTGTTAGAATACTTTCACTATTATTATTTTGATAATTTTGAATGTTTTTGACAACAATTAGTTCTATTTATTATGGCAGATTCATTTATAATCCCATTGTCCCATTGATATACCATTACACATGTTATTTATATGCCATAGACTTAGCTCTACCCATAGACTTATTATTGCCATAGGCTTAACATTACCCATGTTATCCATATGCCATCGACTTAGCATCACCCATAGACATATCATTCCAATAAGCTTAGCATTACTCATGTTATTCCTATCCCATAGACTTAGCATTATCCATGTTATTCCTATGCCGTAGACTTAAGCTGTAATCCCGTAGAAACCCATGTTAATCTGATGGGAGCTTTCCGATGTTATAGTATAGCCGTAGACTTATGCTGTAATCCCATTTTAAATCCCATAGAGCGGGGTGCGAGAGGGGGAGGGGGCCGAACGATCCTATGAACCACATTATTCATACTGAATTGTGATTAATAATTTATTAAATAATAACATAAAATCGGTAAATAATTGGTTTAATTCTATTTCAGATTTAATTCTAGTAAATTCTTTTCCTCGTTTAGATATATTTATTTTCTTTTTCTCACTTATATTGACTATTGCATTGGGAAATAATTTTGAGTCATATGAAACTTTTGACCTAAAAACAATGATAATCCGATTAAATCCAATTCATTTACTTGTGTATTATCAGTTGCAGCAATAGTTGTAACTTTTATTTCGCTAAGAATAACTTTATAATTTAATCTTAAACAGGTTCTGTAGACATGCCTTAGTGCATTAACCCCTGCTTTAATGGACTTTCCACAACGAGTTTCCTAGTTGAATATATCATTACAGTGGCATTTAATCTCTTGAAATTTAAACCCTTACAAATTGATTGTTTTGATAAATACAATTTAATGAATTTAAAGTCAAATATCTTAAATCAATATTACAATTAAAATTAGCGGAAAATGAAATGTTTGAAATTGTAGCCATAATTAATAAATATTTATACAATTAGGGTCTTCGCCAATATCTGCAATTGTTAGTTTTCGAAGGAATCCACCGATTCATCAATGTCTTTGTCGGTCTCTTGTTGTGATGATTTAATTACTGAATTGTTGTCATCTTCGTAGTCACCGGATAAATGCTTTCTCTTTAATGCAATTCTCTTATTTTGACCAAAGCGAATGGCTTCAATTGCTGATAATATCTCACTTTTTTAGATTTATACATTTAAAAATTTTTCCACTTGAGATGAAATTTTTTCATAGAGAAAGCATTATCCCATTGAAATAACATTACTCCCATATACTTAGCATTACCCATGTTATCCCTATGTCATAGACTTAGCAATGCCGATGTTAAAGTTTAGCCATAGACTTATGCTGTAATCCCATGTTAAACCCATAGAGCGGGGGGCTGGGGAGGGAGAGAGAAGGTCGAACGATCCTATAAACCACATTATGATTTGTAATTAAAAATAATCTGAATACCGAGTTGAAGATATTATTGAAACTGAAGGTTAATGTCATTCATGTTATACTTTTATACCCAAACCAGTTTTCTAGAACTTTCTAGAATATTTACATATATTGCACTGACGTCACTATCAACCAATCAGATTTAAGCTGTAGATGTAGTCTCTTTGTATAAAAGAGCTAATTCTTAAACACTATAAACCAGAATCGTTAGGTTATCTGAAATAACTATTCATTTTGTATTAAGTGCTTAATTATTGTGTGTATTTGTCGACAAAATGGCGTTTAACATCAAATACACTAATAAATTCTCCGAAAGTAAGAAAAACTCAAAACATATAACTGTTCTTAAATTGAATGACAAGTACTACATCGACATCCGAAGGGTTTGATATTGACGGTCCAAATAACCAAAAGACCCGAAGAGTTTAAAGAGTTATGCGTTTATATGGAGAACGCACCACCAACTTAATTGAACAAAAGCAATTGGCTAATCTCGTTTGACAAACATGTACAACAGAAGTATCTCGGTTCTTACTTTGAAGAGAACTTATCCCGAAGGACAAGTAAAGGAATCATTTATTTAAATGTCTGAAAGTGAATTATGTAAACTACTGAATGAGTAAAAAAATATTCTCAATTATTGTAATTAATTCAATTGTAAACAAAAATAAATTTTTAATTTGAATTTTAAAAACTGTAATTTTTTATTTATTAACTATATTTTGTATTTAAATAATCTACATACATATTTGTATTTATATTATTTAATGTATTCTATGTGAAATAAGATAATCACGTGATATAATTTTAGTGTAATTGTAATATACTACTTCTACACTAACGGCCATTTTGTTTAAGTCACGTGATCTCGGTACATCGGCGGCCATTTTGTTTGTTTACAATATTTTAGTCACATGGTCTCTCTGTATATGTACATTGGCGGCCATTTTGTTTACGTTGTGATTACGTTACACCATTCTATTGCGCAATAATTAGCCTTATTTTGGTTGTGCTCGCTTATTTTCGATGACGGTTATAAGCTGTAATTTTTTATTTATGTACAATATTTGGTATATAAATAATTGATACATCTATTTATATATGAATTAAACCGGTTTAGTCACTTTTGCAGTGACGCAATAATTAATTACAATGTAATCTAATTGTAATTAAACTTGATTACAATTAAAGTTGCAATTACAAACGGCAATCTCTTGGTAAGACAATTGCGGCCATATTGGTCTCCCATCAAAACGTCTATATAAAACACCTATATCTTATGATAACTATTTAGCAAGTAATTTTTGAAAATATGCGAATAACCCCATACTTCTACTAATATACATATAATACTGTATAATACTGGATGCATAGTTCAATTATTTATATTTAAACAATGTTTTTTTATATAATAACCGTGTGTTTAATAATGTGTTGTGTTTGCAATGAGAATTGTATTGATGTGAAAACAAGTTCGGGATCAGTGAGGGGTCAGACACTTCTTGTATTACACACTAAAATACATCAATTTTTAAATATACCCTACGCTGAGCCACCTTTAGGAAAACTAAGATTCGCGCGTCCGTTACCCATCATAACACCTAAAAAGGTATACATTTTAATAAAATTTTATTTATATTTATTATAAATTAATTAATTGCAAAACAATTTAGGATATAATAGACGCCACAAAACCAGGAAACGCTTGCATTCAAAGAATATCAATGCCTCCCGATATGTTTCAACATATAAATGTTAGTGAAGACTGTCTGGTATTAAATATATGGACACAAAATATTTACAATAATACCCATAATCAACGTAAAATGAATTTGAAGGCAGTGATGTTTATGATTCATCATGGTGGTCTCAGCGCTGGATCAATATTTGTAGACTATAATAATTTAAGCGTTTTGGCTATTAATGATATGGTTTTAGTTGCAATTAACTACAGACTCGGGCCGTTAGGTTTTCTTTACGGTAGCGATGAAACTGCGCCCGGAAATGTGGGCTTTTATGATCAGTTATTGGCACTAAAATGGGTATTTGCTAATAATGCACCATTGAACACAATTTAATCACTAATTCCATAACAGGTTAGGAAAAATATTCACTGGTTTGGAGGAGATAGGGATCGGATAACCATATTTGGCAGCAGTGCCGGGAGTTGGTCTGTGTCCGCACACATACTCTCCCCGTTATCTAAAGGTTTATTTAAAAGAGCTATTATGCAGAGCGGGGCTCTTATTTACAACAAACTGCGTCCGGCCGTCAATACTACTGAAGCATTGATTAAAGCCGAGACATTAGCTAAACGGTTAAATTGTACAAATAGTGGCGGCAAATGGTTAGATTGTTTGCGGGCAATCAAAGATTCTACAATGTTTATTGACAAAACCACATTTGCTATTCTCACCACAACTCATCCCGTATTTGGCACAGAGTTTCTCCCATTTACAGCCCAAAAGGCTTTTGAGAAAAATTTATATAATTCAGGTATAAATGAAAAGATTATGGAATTAAGTAATACTTTATAATAAGAATGTGCTGATCAACTATGACTCTATGTAAACTAGCATAGTAAAACTCTCCTAGGCTCTCATTAAACTCTCCTAGAGCACATACTTACTTTATAAGTAATAAATTAAATTAAAATGTTATATTACCGTATTACCCCGCATATAGGTGCATGCAATTATATGTGAATTTTTACACAAGGGGATACAAAAAAGTATCAAAATATCACTGTGTAGATCAGTGAATTTATAGATGAATTGGATATAAATGAAGAAATGAGTAGTCAAAGAGTGACAAAACAAAGAAAGAAATCAAAATCACACTAATTTAATTTACTACGCATTAATTAATTAAATTTTCATAAACAATTTTGACAAATAAATATTGACGCATTTATATATTATTTTTACACAAGGGGTGCACTTATATCCGGATATAAGTGCGGTAGTTTTGGTGACATGCAAAATTAGTGAAATTCACTTATAAATGCATGCACCTATATGTGGGATAATACGGTAATATTATTATAAATGAAAAAGACGTCGAATTGATAGCCGGTTCTTCGAAAGACGAGGGATCGCTGTCTGGGGTTTGGACTATTCCAGAGTTAAAGAAGGAATTCACTGAACACTTATTCAGAAAATTACTTAATAAATTAAATGCTGAATATTATAACATAGATGTAAACAAAGTATCCGATTATTACCTAAAAGATGTTAGCAAAACCAATTCATCACAATTAAAATCAGCGTTTATAGCATTATATGGTGATTTTTCTATTACTTGTCCCACATATCATTTTGCAAGAAAATTCACCAAATATAATACCAATGTTGTTTACTATTATCGTTTCAATTACGTTGCTAAACTTTATAATCTAATTAATCAATGCAATGCATTAGTTTGTCACGGCTCTGAATTAATGTTTATATTTGGAATTACACTAAGATATCCAAATTTTGTGACAGATATTGAATATAATTATTCTATTGAAGTGATGAAAATTTGGGCCAATTTTGCAAAAACGGGGTAATTATGATATTTTTATTATATTTAAAATAAGATTTTACATGAGAATGTAATAGGGTGATCAACATATTTCGCTATAAAAAATATCGATTGACCACAAATAGTGATTAGATAATGACAAAAAAGACAAATAAAATATTTATGCTTTTTTAGTGTTTTCTCACATATTGTAAATGAGTATTTAATTGAAAACACTTTTAATGAACAAAACAAATGACATACAGTCGACATTCGGTTTTGACAGGCGCGGTTTTCACACTGTAATGTTAAATAGCTCGATTTTAACACATTAGATTTTAACAAATGTTGATTTTAAAAGTGAATTCTCACTAACAGTATAGCATAATTCTATTGTTTGGTTTTAACACATTGAATGTCAATAACTGTAAATACAAAATTATTAGATTAATTGACAAAAAAAAGTGGATTTTAATTCAATTGTGCGCTATTGTGGTGATTAATATTGTGCTTAGCTTTAGAAAATATTATAATAATTAATTAACCTTTATAAAATACCTATTTAAAACTTAAAACGGTATTGTTTCTTTTTATAAAAATTATACAGTATCTTGACAGATATTACTAAAACCTAAATTTAGTTGATTCCATACTCGGGAATAACATCCCATTATTCTCGTTGGATATAAAAGCTCCAAAATATATTATTTTATTTTCCCAAATTTTCTCGATTTTGGCATATTTTTCAAAAATCCTGAAAAACAAAGTACAATGGCCACACTAATGCTAACGCTGGCCCCGCTGGCCTGGTCACCATTTAATATGTGAACGATAGACCATGGTTAGGGGTCTTTTAAAATGTTGTCCATATGTCTCTAAGACATCGGGTTCGGGAGTAGTGCTTACTTTTATCGGGAAAATTTACTCTAATTAAAAACTCATTTTAGTAATATATGTGTCATATTATATATGGATGGAAAGGGTTTGATGAGAGGAATAAGGATCTGAAGGAATTATGTAATTCGGATATCAGATAAAAAAGTTATTTAAAAAATTAAAAATGTTTTACATTTTTTGTACGTGATTTGTCTTTAGTTCTATCTAAGGACCTCTTATTGCAAATAATTCGTATTGTGTTAAATGGAGACCAGGCCAGCTTAGTATTAGGGATGGCCATTGTACTTTATGCCCAATTTGTCCGAAAACGCTATTTTTATTGAAAATAATAAAGAACTGAAGATATTTAGATATAAAATTTAATAAATGTTGGTGTTAAATTTGAAATTATTTTAATGAAGATACGAGTTAACACATTTATGATGGCACCATTGAAAGTATGTTGTGATTTCATCATCACATATATTTCAAAATTAGCAAAATTTGTACAATCAAAATTTGAGACATTAATTTCCTATTTAATAAAATATTACAGATTATATGATAAAATTGACTTTAATGCAATTTATAACTCATTTTTAAGCGTCAAAAATACTTAATAAACTCAATTTGCTCAACATGCCCAATTTTATAAGATTTTGTTCCCGATTTTATTCCCGAATTTTACCATTGTATATTCCCGATTCGCACCAGAATTTCAGTGTTTTGTATAAAAATAAAGGTATTAGATATTACAGATATTAATAAAAATTTGGTTCATTAAACACACTATATACTGTATTTAAGCTATCATCATACAACTAATAATAAAATTAATCAATTTATATTATTCTTAAAACATAGTAAACCACACGATTTGTGGCCACAATTTTGGGATAAATCAATGATAAGAGTAAAGGATTTTAATCCAAGCACTGAATCACTAATTCTTGAAAATCCATACGAAAGTACATGTGATGGTATTTGGAAGCAATATTTTCAATGATCAATTTTATCAAACGCTGTATATAAAATTTTATTTAATAACAATACTGAACCCTCAAATAATTGGTATCAGATATTAATAATTGTGTCTTATTTTTATTTACCATTATTACGTAGTTTGCTACAACTTAACCAGATTAGCATTTTGTTAAATAAAAACGTTGACCATTTTATTTTTCTACCCTAGCAATAGTCAATTAGTCTTTTATTCTAACTAAATTTGATTAATTAAATTATTACCGCAAAACTTTGGATTAGGATTTAAACTATAGTTTTTCATAAGTAGTCTTCATAAATAGTCTATAGAAATAGTGTTTAGCAAACTTCATAGGGGGAGAGAGGCAGAACGATCCTATAAACCACATTATTCATACTGAATTGTGGTTAAAAATATGAGGACTACTATTTTTGCGGTACCGAAAAGTTCAAATACAGGAAAATCCCGGAAATTTGAGCAAAATTATTAAATTTTCCAGGAAATGCCAATATTTCTGGGAACGCTAATCATATACCTTGATATTAGTCATTATGTGTTATTATAAATTTTAATATTTTGGGAATCAAAATTTATGACTAGATATTGTTTGACTAAAATATGCAAATGTTAACTAGTATTTTACATAAACATAATGTATTGAGTATTGTTTTGATTGAATGTATCAAAATTTGATATTTGACATTTAATGTTATCTAATATTATAAAATTAGAATTACAATTATGTAATTTACAATACAATTAAAGCATTACACAATAAACTCATTGCAATCACAACAGACAAGTGTTGTGCGCACAGGTATTGCATATAATAATAAAAAGGACATACAATTTGTATTTTAATATTAATGACAATTTATTGATAATTATAATAATTAATATTCAGTCGAATTTAATATACAATATAAAGAAAGGCTGACCCTCGGGGCCAACACCGGACACACTCAACAAACACACAGGCAGTGACCGAATACGTGTAAATGTTGGCCCGATTCAGATCAACATTTAAATATTAATTCACTTTTAGTCTCCATTAGTGCCGCTATCGTCGGCTGAGTCCTAGTATTTGGTAACTTTTCCTTCCAAAAGACAAATGTGTTAATTGTTTGCATTGACTGAATGTTTTGCTCGTTATGTTTGACCGGAAGTTACGTAAATCGTGTAAATTGTGGTTCAATTCAATCGATACTTCAAAACTCTTCAAATGTTTGAAATGATTTATTTCATCAAATAATAGCTATTTATGTGTTAACGTCTCGACTCCTAAACGACTATAAATATTTAATTTTCGCAGTTTTGGACATTTTTTAGCGATTTGTCTCAACGCGTGTCTGAATGTCTGGTCTTCGGCATCAAAACCCGACGAGTCTTCACAATGTGTCAAAACTTCAATGTTTTTTAATGCAGACAATTGTTGGTAAATGTAATTCAATTCATCCGTTTCTATACCATAGGTCTCAATATAAAAGTGTTTTAACGACTGATTATTTATAATAAATGTTTTTAAATTGTGTTTATACTCGGGATTATAATTTAGGGCACATTTAGTCATATTATTTACCAAACATTTGTTTCCATCAAATATTTCCTTCAGAATAGTCGAAGAACTCCAATAAAACTGCAATTCATTTATTTTTGGAAATACTTTCAATACTTTATTAATGTCTTCATAATTGGTGTGAAAGTCAATAGTTGTGACACTTTTGCTATACTTATCTGTGAATCGACGGTAAGTCTCTTCAGTCACACGATTCATATCAATTGCAAAACTATTCAAATGATTGCAATGTTTGATAATTAACTCAATTAAGCGATTATAGAGCTCTTCATCGATGGACTCGTTATAAGTCATACAAATGTTTGAAATATTTTCACATTTTTAACCACAATTCAGTATGAATAATGTGGTTTATAGGATCGTTCGGCCCCCCCCTATGAAGTTTGCTAAACACTATTTCTATAGACTATTTATGAAG